TTGTATTAAACATTTGCCCATTTTAATTGGTCATATACAAACAGTTGTATCTTTTGTGGCAAGAAAATTTTTTTGAATCATTTGTTTAGTATGTGCACACAGGAGGACAGTTCTTTCATAAATTATGTATTTGCTTATTTATCTAAGGGTGATTAAACATAATGTATACTCTTGTTTATATTCGTACTAATACTAGCTTATAGTGAACAGTCAAGGCAGGAGTTATGGGACTTGAATTAATCTACAAAAAGCAGCTTCAGTCTAAGAAAAAATTAGAAACAAACAACACCTAAGAGTTCTAGCTTTAGTCCAACTACTTCAAATATAACAGTTAGTGAGCTTAATTGCTTCAAATATGATCACAATTAAAGACATGGTGCATGGCTAGAAAACTATATTGTTTATTTGAAGTTTTATAGCATGTATCCTTTTGGGGTCACTTGACAATTACAGAGAAAAGTCTCAGATACTAGAAAATGTGCGAGTGCTGAAAAAGTGTTTTAAATTGTTTAATCACTTCTGTCATATTTTTATGGCTTTAAAGACACTTAATACAGAACAGATATTTGTTTAAATTTGAAATTGATTGACTTGTCAAATCAAGATCAACTCTTATAGGCCTAATTACTCAAAGGCTGGTAAATCTATAATGCTGACTAGATGCCACTGTTCATATGTGAATCATATGGTATTCCTTTTTCTACCAACACTATTTATTACACTGAATTACAATGTACTCTTATGATACAATGGAACCGCTTATTTAGTACAAGAGTAAAATAATAATTAATGTCAACCTTAAACAACCACTCAAACAAAACTTTATAAAACATTATGCATATGCTTAGTGAAGTTTGCATAGTCTGCAATGCAAAATCCTAAGTTATCAAATGAATTTAGAAAAAAGAAGGGCATAACTACATGTAAGATGTTAATGTTAATTGCAGCTAGATTGAGTCTAAACTTAATAAACAAGAAAGCAGATCTCATGCTAACTACAACATAGTATACCCCAAAAAACATTTTTATCATCGTAACAATAGATACTGAGTAAACTGGGCTTTCCAAACATTCATATTACCTTGACATAAAATATATGATAATTCCAAATTTTATCAATATCACGAATCAGTGTGCCAAAACAAATTCTGACAAACTCTATTTATCTGCCATTGTTGTGAGCAAGAGTTACAGGCTGAGGTGTGCACAGTAAAAAGCATTATTTAGCTAACAGCAGGGGAACAGTAACTTCCCTTCTTTTTACACATCTAAGTTATTTATATTTGTTTATTACTGTTGAAGTCTAGCCCTGCAAAGTTCATAACACTTCCTATAAAAACAGGAAAGGTGAATGAGATTTAAGATAATAGCTGTAGACATTTGACTCCATGCAACAGGCTTATTATACATATACAGAAAAAAATATAGGATCATTTACTCTAACATGTTAGTGGTTATGCTAGTAAAATATACAAACTTAACCAGTACAAGACAACTTTAATCATGAGACTATGTTATTTTGATAGGCAATTCTATGCTAAACGACTACTAACGGTAATTATCAATGATTAAAACACAAATAGTTAGAAGAATCTAATCATTACAAACACACAAACTTCAGAAAATACTTTCAACTTATAATTCTAAAGAGTGAAAGGAAATTTATGCACGTTTTTTTTAATATCGTATTGCTACATAGTAGGCACGTAACTTTTTCAAGACATGACAGTAATGGAAAAGAACAAACATTGTCCTGTCATTTGTGGGGAATAAATTTAACTTAAAAACATGTGGAAGTTATGCATCAAAGTATAACAGTATACACTGCAGTACAAAATATATATCTTTTATAAGTACCTGGTCATCATGATTGTAAACAGAATAAAAAACAAATTATTGTAAAATTTTTCAACATATAAAAATTATTGTATTGACATGTAATAGCTATTAAATCTAACTTTTTAGTATAAGCAACAGGATGAAAAACTGCACTTGTTGCAAACCCAATTACATGTTTATTGGAAACCAATATCACTTAAGATTTGTATACAAAAATTACTAAATGTTACTTCCTTGTTTGAAGATCCTAATAAAGATGTTAAAGTATGGCATTACCGGTGTTATTTTAGAATATTTCCTGAATTGAGGCACAAAACAGTAACAATGGACCTGGTTGTCTTTTCAGTTAAACTATGTGATGTAATTGTTTTCCAGTTAAATTATTGGATTGATTTGTTAATAGAGCATATTCTGTCCTTTAACGTTCTAGTGTTACATTGTGATTCATATTAGGGCTCACATTACATGTGCCAGGAAGGAAACCCTTAACTATGTTGATGAAAGGTTACAAGTTAAAAGCAGTGTTTTGTTACACTTCATTGTAACCTTGTTTGTACTGTTATATACCTGTGATATGTTTGAACTAAGAAAAAAAAGTAGTGTTTCTTTTATTTAGATATTATGTATGTTTTATTTTTGTATCGTTATTTATTCTATATATTGTTGTATGTGAACCCCCCTTTATAACAGTTCATTGGATGACAATCACCTCACAGAAATTCAGATTGTGACTTGCTTCCTCCTCTAGGAGCTTACTGAACAGCTCTGCAGAACAAGATATTTTTACCAAATTAATCTTTCATGCTTAAATTCCACCGTTGATCCGCAGAACAGTTAATTTGCAAATACCATGATTACCTACTCAAAATACTTATTCAAATCTCACTAGGATATTGTGACTATTATGCTATTTGCATTGTTTTCCTGCTTCAAGAATATTCTTCATCAGAAATCACGTGATCGGAATACCAAATCTTATCAGTTAGTAATAGAGGGTAGTAAAAGTTTCTCACCTACATTATTTTTTTTAACTTTGCAAATAATTCTTTCTCTTTTTGACTTGTTTGGAAACGTTTAAAAGATGTTTTATAAGAGGAAAAGTGCTTATCAAACCACTTCAATGCAATATTTTACGTTCAGTTTATTACCAATCTACTTGTAGAAGTGTTATTTAAACAGTAGTAGGTATTTAAAATGTAAGATATTATATATGTGTATGTATTATTATTATTTTTTTTGTATATTCTTGAGAAATAAAGTATAATTTATAAAACACATTTGTTTTCGTTTTAACCGAAAAACAAACAAACAACGACACTAGTTTTTTACTTTTACATGAATAGATTATGCCTTAGAAGCTATTGTACTTTATTATTAGCGAAAATTAAATAATAGCCAGACTTAAGTGTAAAATGTTTCAACGTGACACGAAGTACAAAGTTTTTTTTTTAGCATCAACTGATAGGAAGTTATATCAATTTATAAATATCGTACCCTCCTGTATGATGGAGATAGGAAGAACAAAAGTCACTTGAGTCAAGTGTTATAATAAGTTGTAAATAAATTCAATTAACAGATTGTTATAATTAGGGTATCATTAACACAGGTTTAGTAACAAGCGAACTGCGTTGTTTTGATTATTCAATTCTGGGTTAAGTCTAATGATAAATAGTCTTTCCTTTACAAGCAGTTCCTGCTCCCCGCTTGCGTTAGCGGGAATTTTAAATTGTTCTCTGCTTAGAGATTAAAATATGCCACTAAATTTAATACCGTTACGTCTCTGGTCGTTTGGTAATTTCCGTATAATTTCTTTCGGATGAAACTAGCGATACAAGTCCTTTCTTAAATAAAACTAGTTTATTCTTTTTCAATACAACTTTGCAATACACTTAATTTCCACAGTCACTTTAACTTAAACACACGCTATAATTCACAACGATTTACACACTTTACTATAGGCTTGACTCGATTATCTGTTTCTGTCTCCCTGTCTGCTATTCGTATCAAGCATGTGGTGGCTACATGAATCCAAAAAACAGTATTTTAGTAACTAATGGTAATAACATACTCTAATACCCAAGTTAAGGAGGAAGAAAGAAGTCTAGTGATCAC